CGACCAAGCCCGTTTTAACGGCGGTCAAAGGAATTGTTCAATCGGTCGGCAAATGTCATGGAAATCGTACCAGAACTGGTTTCAGCCCTAAGAACTGAGGTGTGGCTTCTATTCTCTAATGACGTCAGCTGCCAGCAAAAGTACCATCACCACTAACCTAACAACATCCTTTACCCATAACTTTACCGTGCCTCCTTTTAAGTGGACCTGCTGGTCAGGAGCTACTGATAGGCAGCTAACGCCTAACTGGTAAGTGCAATCGACCGGCTAAAGTTACTGCATGGGAAGTTCTCCACCAATGAATCATCGTTGTCCCCTGGGATGACCTGATTTCGTCAGAATGAACTAGCCGGCGATCTGAAGAATGTGAAATCTCATCTGAGACCGGCATAAAAACGCCACCGCCCCCTACGTCTTAGAAACAGAGTCAAGTATGACGACTGAGAAACCACTGAACGAGGAAAAACTCAAACTCTCACGAAAAAATTTAAAAAGTGCAATCCCCTAGGAGTTTTTGAATGTTTATAAACTTCCCAGGACATACCTTTAGGTGAAATTTCATTGTTAAACTTTTTTTTTGTAAATCTATTTAGTTTGGATTTTCAAAATTCATTCTGAAATAAAGCACAACCGATTGTCGTCTCTGTGAGGTTGCGCCTAGCGTTTCCTCTCTTCCTATTTTTCCTTCCAATTCCAGTTTTCAGTTCTGTCAGCAGTCGCTCAGGGTGATTGTAATGTTACGATCGGATTAAACCCCAGAAACGAATTCAAATCCGACCCATCAATTCAGCCACCGCATTTTTCAATTCCATTGACTGAAGCGACTATTCAAAAATGGCGTTCAGATCGGCGTACTTGTATGTAACCTTCATCTTTTACATTTTTGAAGTGGAATCGTCGCTTTTCGGGTATTAAATCTACAGCTACTTTAACTTTTGAATGAGTAATAAGTACGATACCACTATCTGGGGTTCTTTCTGACCACCCATGGAACTTGTAACGGAAACCTCAAGTCTAAAATTAAGGATTCAAAGCTTCGAAGCAAGTCCGTCCCTCCCTTTTTAGTCTTCCAGGCGGTTTCAGGCTCCACCCAATCGCCCCTCTTGTTTCGAAAATTCTCCCAACTTCTTCCTCCTCTAATTTTTTACTGGTTCGCCCGTATTGATCTGAAAGTTTTGCTGTTGTTTAGACCACCCAAGAAAGGAAAGTACCCTGAGTGGTTCAAATAACGATTTCCATTTCCTTCCACGTAACCAGTACTCACCTTCCATTAGAAGCCTTCGTTTGACTTTATTGCCGACTACCAGTCACCTGAGACTGCTGGTTGAGTGAGTTGTTATTCACAGTCGAGCATTCTGCTTCAATAACGCTCGAATGGAACACACCCACCGCACTTGGCCTCGGTCCAAACTACCTTCGTTTTCTTGGTGTCCTCACTTTCCTCTACAATAACTCGTTTTAGACTGACTAAGTTGACGAACGGATTCCATAGTTGTAAAGAGCGTAAAGAGTTCTATACACCCATTTGTAAATTTTATTCAAACTTCATGTAGAACTTTTCCTTGATCTTCACTCCGATTATCGATCGGCGCACGCGGTGATCAATTTGATCTACGCGGCGTCGATGAGTAGAAGACGCCGTTGCTGAATCGACAGCCGGCCAAAAATCATAGAAACTCTATTTGGCTGATTTTGGAGCCATACAAGTACCCGGATGGCTTTCACAGGTTCAGATATACAAAGTAAATAACTCTCGACTTTTTTCGCTGCGATTCAGCGCCTATATCGACTAATCTTCCTACCATTTCACAAAAGTGCTGACAAAAGAATAGTATGTGAGCTTCAAAAATTAAAAGCTCGAGGGTAAAGCTTTTTGGAGATAGGGAAGGACATGAGGTCGTCATTATAGACGACCGTCATCTGTTTAAGCTCACTGTACAGACATTCTTTGACTTGCTTCCTCCATTCAGCGAGAAATAATGACAGATCTCCCCGATTTTCTTTTTTGCCTACACTGCTTTTCTCGACTGCATTAGTGATGGAATGTCGCCATGGGTGGCTAATTTTCGGAAAAAAGAAAAGTTTGGCTTCGGGCAGAACCGATCTCCTCAGTCAGAGCCCTACTATTCGAGGATCGTACCAACTCAAGGCACCGTCGAAACCTTGAATTCCGTTTCTTCAGCTTTCCAATGTGAACTTATCATGACCTTTCATTAACTAAATAGAGTGGTGGACCGATCGATCGATACTGACGATCGATTTGATCGATATTGGCAGTAAGCTGTTGCGGCTGCAGCCGAAAGTTACTTACACTATACATCCGAGCTTGCCGAATTATCAAATGACGCACTATCACATATGCACGGTCAAGGGTTCGAATCCCGGACCATTACCTGTCTAGGCCAACCAGGTCTTTCACTCGTGCGGGATCGGATAATTGGTACCGGGCTCGTCTGGGAGGATAAAAGCACTGACTTGTACATCGGCTGCTCACTGCAACTCATTGGATAGACCAGATTCACATTCAAATTCTGAATGGAAGCCGACTGTGGGGGACGCGTCTCTCAGGCGAGATTTATTAATGTCCTAAGGCTACACCCTTCATCTTTATTAATTTGAAATACTTGTATGTGAGAGTGTCTAGAGGGACTAAGCCTATTCCATGGGAGCTGGAAAGTCCGTAAGGTCCTAGCTTTGCTTACTTTTGCGTAAATGATTAATGGATTTATGAATTTTATGAAAGTTTCCGGACTCGTGGGAGATTTTTTGCTGAGTGAACTGCCTCAATGCATGAAAATCGATAGTTTGGCCTCGTTTTAATAGCAATATCTGCCCCGTTCCAATTGAATGTGTGGCTTTCTTCACTATCAACTCCACCCTGATATCTTTTGATCGTATGGGAGGAGATGTGTTTCTTTATTCATGATGAACTTATCTTCAAATACCATCGATAACACCAAGAAAATGCCGTTTGATACTTGGGAACATTACCATAATGCGGTCATAGGCTGTATCATTGTCAACTGAGCACTGAATTTTTCAGAGAGAGAGGAGGGAGATGAACTTTCTTCCCTGCCCTAAAAATATTTTTTTTTCTTTTTTTTTTCTTGACTCGCAAAATTATTGTACTAGCACGAGGTAAGAACGCCATCTGGGTCTGGGAAGACTTTATGATCCATTCCCATGTGCTCTGCCAAAAAATTGAGCTTCGGTTGGTATTGATACTTTTCATTCCTAATCCTTGCCGTTTCCACGGGCATTTTCGGCGGAAGCGGATAATTCTCGAATATCGCCGTTATTGCAATATTGCCCTTTATTCTCAGAGTTAGTTATTAGGCCGTGTAGGGCGATTTGAAAGAGCTAGGATCATTTGGCATGTTATAAATTACTCCACTTAGACCCATTGGTACTCAATTTTTCGGATAGAACTTAATGTATTAGTGGGCCAGTGGCTAGAATTAGCTGACTGAGTCTTTCCTCTCGCGGTAATTATATACTTGTTCTTCCAACCAGTTAGAAATCTCTGCTACCGGTGCTAGGCAAACGAATGTTGTGCAATGTTCAATGGCCTTCACTTCTACACTGTTGTTTTACTAGTAGCGTTTTTTGATCACCAGCCCATTCAAATCGGGTTAGCCGGCAGCATCAGAAGTCTCTCGAATAGGAATTCTTTCTCTCTAAAACTTACCTCGGTAACTGTTGTAGTAGGTCCGACTGTTACTTTGCGAGCGCTTGAAAAACCTTTACAAACTAGGGTGGCTAGATTTTGTGCTGAAGTAACTGCTTTCAAGTGGGGTAGAGGGGTAGGAGTTCTATGGCTCTTTAAAGGGCTCTTTTAATGAATTTTTGACGTAGGAATTTTAAATTTTGACGGAGCCCGTATGACCTTTGAACTTTTTCGTCTGGAAGGGGCTAACTCCCGAGTCATTCTCAAATGACTCTCTCTTTGTTCAGCTGAAGGAAGCCAGCTTGCAGTAAGTTCCCGTGGAATCGTACCTGATCGTGTAGTTTGTGAACCGCTGCTCATATCTGAAATACGATGACGCATCTATGGCAAAGTGTTCATATCAGTGACGACAGCTGTGCCCTCGAACAATAAGATATTCATTACTACGCTTAGTCTTCAGTCCCTTCCCTCTTTTTCCTTGCTCTTCTTCAGTTTTTCACCTTGTGACTGGATCTAAAGAGTTTTGACTGCCCAGATCAGATTCAAGCTTGTGTCAACTATAAATGTCTTTGTATCTTGTTCTGTTCATTTGGAGGGTAGAAACATAATCGCAAAGGGGTTATGGGACTGTAATGAATTCTTATAATTTTAAAAATCTTGAAAATCCAAAAAGAATCAAGAATTTGTCGGTGGAGAGCTTCATTGGGTCCGGTAGACGAATATGCAGCTTCGAGCGGCGCAGTTGTGCACCCACTGTCCCCCAAAGCCTGTTAAATCCTTCTCTCATCTCACTCCCATCTCGTTTTCCTTCAATTTTATAAAATTTATTATTACTTAATAGTACTGTGACTATCTCGAAATCTCTCATATTAAATTTCATTATTTTTAAATTAATTTCATTACCTTTTATTCCCTCAACTCTTGAACTTCAATAACGGACAAAAAACTTCCTGTGAACCCTAATAGTCGGAACAGATCACTTTTCAATGATTCCCACTCGGTTTCTACATCTCCTTATAGGAGAAAAGGCACCACTTTTGGGAACTTCACACCATGATGGAGCTCCCTGATAGTGTATACTAATAAATTGTAATAAATAAAACAAAACAAACAAAAATAAGTGCTTAACAAATTAGCAGTGCCTGGCGTCGACAAATACAAAATTGGATACTTAGATTTACGCGCTCCAAGGAAAAAGTTCGTCTTGTGCGTTGCGCTTGCTGCGGTCTTGCCGCTCTTGGTCCTTTACCGTCTCATTAGTTTACTCACCTTTTCGAGTCTTTTTTGCTCATGTTTAGCTCATCTATCGGATAATTAGTTTACTTTTGCAGGAATGTCATCACAAAAGAAATCCAGTACAGCACAACAGTCAAATGTAGCACCTGTAGTGCACAAAGTGAGTTCAATTTCCTTTCTTCTGCTTCTTTTACCTTTTCCATACTTGAACATGCGTGCACAATGAGTTTATAGCTATTTAAAGAAGAGCTTTCTCTAGTGATCCGCTTTGAATGCATAATAGTGTTCAGTCCACTTTAAATTAGGATTTTAGGAGCCAGCCAATTGTAGAAGTTGGCTATTCTGTGAATAGTGGCTGTTCTGGGTTTAGCCCTGGGTCTGCTAGTACTTCTTATTCGGGTGGAGTAGAGGGGCAACTTCAATAACTTGTAACTTCCTTGAATCCATTTTAGTCCTTTCGACTGCCTATCAAACATTGCATTTTCTCACAAAAGAGCTAATTGTCGAACTTAATGAATAAAATATGATTACCTCACAATATGCTCTTTATACAGATGGCCTGCATTTGTGGCTTCATTTTTGGCATCATGAAAAAATAGGTTTTTCAACCTTCTTTAGTCTTCTTTAGTCTGGATGCACGATTGTGAGAAGATCGTCCGATTAGATTTTAATCTTCGATTCTAGTTAATTACGAATGTAACCAACAATAACATTAAACTTGCAAACAATAACAAATAGGAAGCGGTTCGACTTCACCATTGGTGCTCCTGTTTCGGATAGGTTCAACTGATTATAATGCTTGAAAGTGCTGAATGTGTTGGTAGTTCTAATGTAATTAAAGAAGGTCGACTACCGCATGCATTGCGAGAGTGACGAGGAATACTACTTTCAGTGATTGAATAAAACTACTGCTTTTCAGGTCATAATGGTCGGAACAGGTGGTGTCGGAAAGTCTGCTTTGACACTTCAGTTCATGTATGATGAGGTAATTAATATTTTTGATAAAATAGGGCTTCAAAGAATTGGCTACTTGTGACGAACAAGCTGTCATGGTATAACGCTTGTTTTTGTTTTCAGTTTGTTGAAGAATACGAACCGACTAAAGCTGATTCGTATAGGAAGAAAGTGGTATTGGATGGAGAAGAATGTTCGATTGATATCCTTGATACAGCTGGTCAAGAAGACTACTCTGCAATCAGGTATAATAAGTTTCTTTTCAATCCAGAATAAAATCTGGCTGTTTACTCTGAATGCACATTTCGATATTTGCATTGCTGCAGCTGGAAGTTGAGTCAATTGTTTTTTATATAAGAGTGCTTGGCGAATTTGCAAATATTTGTATCTCCTGCTTGAAATGGTAACGAATTTGGCACACTGAGCTCACAGCTTTTTACGAATACCTAACTATAATATTAGCTTGAGTCATAAGTCGTAGGACAATGTGATAGTGATGAATTTTAGAGATCATAACTCGGGAAAGTGGTGACGAAAATGGACGCGCTAAGCATCGTTAGATAGAGTATTATCTTCCAAATGCATGCTAACGAATACACATGACCGTTTCCTGCGCTCGAGCGTGAGGAAAGGAAGTGCCATGTCGGCGCGGTAGTCCATATCATACTGCTTCAAACTATTAGGCATCCATCGACCGAGCTTTCGCACCTTGCCGATTGACTTCAATCTACGGATAACTGTGGGCTGACTCCCCAAGGGTGACTGCCAGCTCACGAGTAGTTTGATACGGATCGGCTTCCACCCAACTCCGCAGCACGTCCAAATTAACTCCATTGAGCGTCCCGGGAGGTCTTCATTTTCAATGGAATAGTCGTCCGACGTGAACTTCGTGTGCCACTTGTAAATTGTGCATCTAGCAGGAGCAGCCTTCCTTAATATGTCTATCGTTCTCCGCGGGTTCTTGGCCAGATAAAAAAAGAATTAGGATGGTGTTGCGCTGGTAGAGTTGCGACGGCTTGAAATCATGGGGCATGGTTGCACGAAAGGAGGCACTTAGGTGTGTTCAATAGTATGTATTTTGAAGAGCTTTTCATACTCTGTCTAACGATGCCACGCTTGTCCATTTTCGTCACCTCTTTCTCGAATTATGATTTCTAGAAGTCATTACTACCTTTTTTTATCGTGTGAACAAGAGGTGCAGAGAAAGCGTCGAGAAGCCTTGTGGATCTGATGTCGGTCTTGGTTATTTAGTTGGTTTTACTGGTGGTCGGCTATTTTTGAAGCATTTTAACAGGCAGTTCACACCATTATTGTGTGCGATTGGTATATCAAAGGAAAGGGAACGCTCTAGTGCGAAACTGGATAAAGAAATACGCCGAAAAGTCACTTTTAGTGGCCTAGATGTCAAAAACATCCGCAAAATGCTTCCCTGAATAGTTGTGTGAAGATGGAATTGTATGGCTTTGACGAACTCTAGTCGTTTACCTCACTACGGCTTAACCGCTTGGAACAGTGTATTCCGCTACCTTAGATATCTTTTTGAGACGGTCTGCGACTTTTACATGTTTGTTGAGACGATTGTGACTTACAATACCGATTGACTTCATTTCATTTTAGAGACAACTATTATCGAAGCGGCGAAGGCTTCATCTGTGTTTTCTCTATACTTGATATGGATTCATTCGATGCTACTACAGAGTTCAGGTACACGTATTCCTTGGTTGGACAATGACCCTTCATATTTACACTTCCTTAAAAATTGGCCGATCTTTATTTATTTTCTTACAAACTAGCAAACTCAAACCAGAATATTCATCGAGTTTTAATTAGCAGATTTTACCCTCTTGTACTTTGGGGGATAAGGCTTGCCTTTCCCCAGAACACTTATTGTGAAAGTATAATAATAATATCCCTAAATGATTTCCTCCTTATTATTGCGAGCACATATTTTGTTATTCGAATCATAAGGCGGTCACAGTTCAGCTCCCTGTGTGATATTGTATCAATTCTAACGATAACGCTATCGAACTTTCTTATCGGAGCGAGAATTTGACATTTGGTTTCTCTGTTTTTCGCTGAAAAACTATTTTTGGCTTGAATTCGGTATCCCTGTCGACAAATTCAATTCTTCCTCAATTCAATACATCTTCTGGACAAAGTTGCGCTACAAAATGCTCATGTGCACTTGCATCACTAGAAATAGGATCTCTTTGAAAGTTTTGAAATTGAATACTCTTGGTTTTAGAGAGCAGATTCTTCGTGTGAAGAACTCAGACAATTCGATTCCCATCGTTCTTGTTGGCAACAAAGCAGATCTTCGTGATGAACGAGTTGTACCATTAGAGATGGCACGACAAAGGTACGTAAGGTTGTAGGAATTCAGTAACTATGATTATTGTTAACTAAACGAAGTTGTGTTAGCAAGGAAAAGAGTGTTGCCTGGAAAAGGTCTTGCCATCGTGGTGAAGTGTGCACTTCATGTTAATTTTGACCACAAATCTGATCCAGTCTTTTCATGACTTTGAAGAGAGCAATGAAATATTTTATAGTGTAACAGTAGGTTGACTTACGTGATCTACTTCCATTTTAGTAACCTACTCTTAAAAATGCTCTCTATAACCAGGGACATGCTACAGGAGATAACTGAATTTAGCTGAGTAGGATTAAGACACAACTGAGTGAAAATGTAAGACTGCCCATTAGCGTTCTATATCTTTGAACATATATGATAAGCTGCTGTAGCACCACACAAATACCTGAATTAGAACATTTTCTGGACACAGTCAGCATCGGTTTCATCCCTCCTTTTGTCTCCTCTTTTTGAAGGAGAACTTGAAAATTCGTCTTGTTGTATATCCAGCGCTTCCGAAGTTTTGGAATAAAGCAAAGGGCAGGACTGTGTTGTGCTAGGCGCATTTTGTAGCTGTAAATATAAGAATAGGCTGAATTTGAAAATGGGGTTGGCTTTGATATGACACATCAAAATGAGCTTAGTATTCTACATCACACAGCAACCAACCCCTTCTTTGTAAACCTACAATTCCCATGGAAATATTGAATAGTAAAAGCGTTTCGGTATGAATTATAAGATTTCGTTTATAAGTTTCATGAGGAACTTAATGATGTATATTCCAGAGCTGAACGATGGGGTGTTCCTTATGTGGAGACATCTGCTAAAAGAAGAGAGAACGTGGACAAGGTTTGGATTTTACAAATTATCGATTAAATGCATGTAGTAATTAATGGCTGAAAGCCTAAAAGAGATAGGTGAAAATTAAACCTATTTAAATATATTCATTAACCCTGACGACAATGGCACCCATAGGTGGGTGCCACTACGACTGGCGAAGGAACATTAGCACACAGTTTTGGGTGCCACCATACTTTCTTGTTTCTTACCAGTTGCTAAATTCAGTAAGCCAGGGAAAGAATCTTCTCGCAGGACTGTGCCGCTAGCCGGTGGGTGCCAGTCGCGCGCGAAAGAGGGGAGCGTGGTCCCATGGGCGCGCCACGTTGAAATCCGCATTGCAGTCAAAGGGTTAACATTTCCCAGCGAACTTGTCGATTATATGGCCCTTTCTCCTTGATACCCCTGTCACTATTCTCCTGTCCTTCTCAGCCTTCTTCTAGTGATTCAACTGTTACTTTATTAGGGGTACTCATTCATCGAATTGTTTGACCTAATTGTCACGGGATAGAGATGATTCTAAATGTTTCGCTAAATCTTACGGCAAAGGTGGACTTGAAGAACCTTTGTTTTGAGCCCACAATTGCGAAGGACTTGCCCCTCATAAATTGCCATTTTCCGTGTTACATGGGCTTTAGCTCTCGAAAGATGGGCTTCACCTATATTCTCCATTGATACATTTAGAAGTCGCAATCGTTCACAACGACTTCAGTGCATTTTAATTATTCCAAGCCTTTTGGGATCATGTGCGTCGCTAGTCTTTTCTCATTCTTTTGTATCTTCTTACCAGTGACAAAAGAACACCCCATCTTATTGTTTCATATAACAGTTTCACTCCCACTTATTTCTTATTTGTCTCCGTCTTTGTACCCTGCCCTCATGTTAACTTTCGGTCTAACCATTCCTTACCCAACTGCACAGGAGTGGACCACGCTCTGTCGTTGTAGTCAGGTACCTCTCCTGCTTACATTGGGAATTCCTCATATCTGTTGACCTTTTGATCCCGAACTTCTTTTGGGTTTTGCATTGATTTTTTCACGCAAACTGCACCCATCCACGATTTCATCGGTCCCCTTTTCATCACCAGTTGACCAAACTTTTACTCTATCTTCCGTTTTTTTTTTCTTATTTACAAACCTCCCGTAACCAACAATTTGTCAAATATAGAGTGTCGTCTCTCAGTGCAGACGTTGTCGTCGTATGAACAAATCGGAACCTATAAATTATAACTTTTACTACTATTGTCAGTCTTCCAATCTCTTATGAAGACAGTAGAACACTAACATCGATCGTTTCCCACTGAACAATATTCAATTCTTTACCTGATATGTGCGAGATTGCATGCACTGATTGCAAGACCCACACTACTTCAGTAACATCGTTGTTCAAATATTGCAGGTGTTCTACGACTTAATGCGTGAAATCAAACGGCGGAAAGGTGGTGCGATGGGTGCTTCCGCTGCAGGCCTTGATCCTTCGCAAACAGGAGGCAAAAAGAAGGGAGGTATCAAGAAACTCTGCAACATTTTATGAAGACAGCAGCGCCAATCGTCGACGTCGCGCGTCATGCGCAAACCAACCGAAGTTTCTTAAGACTTAGGATTCGCGTTGTCGTCGACATGAAGATCTGCTAATGTTGACTCTGTCTGTGTATCGTTGCCTCTGACTCATTGCCTACTTTCGCCTTATCTTAAGAGCGACATCACTGTTTTCTGATCCCTTACTACGTCCTCGTTTCAATCGGTTTCATGTTATAGTCATTTTGCGCATTAGTCATCTCCAGAAATGTATGTTCTTTCACAATTTTTATAGTAGTACAACATTTATTTACGACTTAACTGGCCCAATCCCGGGTTTCTGTATCGCGAATATAACTTGTTTCAGTGTACTTGATGTGCATAATACATACTAAATTATTGTTTATGTGTATGTGTAACAGTTGCTGTCATGACTCAATCTTTCTCGCAATAATCAGGTCTCATCCTCCTGTCAAATGCATAATCTGAACTGGACACAGACGAATTTTCACAGCTACACCACACAACTACATTAGCCACACTCATGGTAGTGTATAGGTACCACATCTGGAGTCCTGGTTCAGGTATTGAAAAGAAGCTAGTTAACTATGAGCGAGTCCACTAACGTAATGTTACTGTTTCTAAGCTACTGAAAGCAACCCACCACTTCCCAACCTAAGCATTCAAACAGTTTGATGAAGCTATTCAGGAAACTACTGTACGAACCTTATATCAATCACACTTGTTATTTCTCCAATGAGCAAGGACGCTTCACTAATGTTTCTCAGGCTTCAATTACAAAAACATCAACCCCTGTTACTTGCGTTCATACTAATTACCGGCAATAACTCGCTTTTGCTTTAAATTCAGATTGGCTTCCCACTTCTGACAGCACACCAACACAGTGATTCGCTCTAAATGCAAATTCTCGTCGTATTACATTTCGCTCGAATGAAATGTAATCCAACTGCAATGTTCCTGTATAAATATTTAGATTTCGCAGTGTCGCAGAAAAACTGAACTTTCCCCACGAAAAAATCAACAGAAGGTAATTTTCCGTGCAATATGGAATCACCCAAGTTGGAATAGTTCTATCCTGCTTAAAAGTCTGTCTGCAGATCTTGTCCAAACTAGAAGTGGAAAGGAGCTACTAAAGTTGCTTATTTCGCTCGTCAACCCAAAACACCATGACCTGCGCGAAGAATACTGCTTCTATAAATGGCAAAATCTCCTAGACACCGACGTACCGCTTCTTACACATGCAAGATCACATTATGATAACACTGAATGTTTATAAACGCAACAAGGTTCCAACATAAGTTACATTTCTGAGGGATAATAATTGCAATTGACTTACAACTGAATCTAAGAACTCTATGGACAGTAGATCCATGCGTGGTGCAATGTAAAATGGTTTATTCTTATAGAGCATGCCTTCAGCAAGAAAGGGCAAATTAATAGAATACAACAAAACGCAATGACCGCAGCCCACGCCGCAAATTGACTTCGACGCAAAGGATTAATTACATACCGCGGTTAGCTTTCAAATAACAATGACAATTAACAACAACACGCTTGCGAGAAAAGATCATACGGGAATGAGAACTGCTTGCAGCGAAAAAACTACTGCCAAGCGCCGCTAGTGTTCCAATTTCCATAGCCGCCTACTCCGCCATAGCTAGCTTGCGCCGCAGGTTTCGAAGGGGCCGCAGTTGCTCCGCTGCTTTGCTGGCGGAAAAGCGCATACAGGTCCTCGTAGCGTTCGTGCTCACGCTGCAGTTCTCGTTTCAATGTTTCCACTTCCTTCGAAAGCTCCGCGTTTTTGCGCTCTAACTCAGTTACACGGCTTTCCTCCATACGCGATCTCTTCTCATATGGCCCATCTAGCGGCGGGCCAGATCGTCGCATACCTAATGGTGGCACTCCATACATAGGGCCACCTGATCCACCGTAACGTCCACCAGGTGCCCCACCAAATCTTCCAAGAGGCCCACCTGATGGAGGAAGCCCACGCAGTCGTCGTTCGCGCTCCTCTTCTACGTTCACGTGCCAGTAGCGACAACGCTGCGCACCGCGAGCACATTTGCCGGATTGGAACTCCTTGCAGACTGGAATCCCCGCGATAGTGTCGCCTTGAGTAACGGCAGCGATAGCTCGCGCAAGTGGTAGCGTCACTTCGCGCGTGTGCTTGTACCGTTCGACTTCGTCGCGCGACGCATGCACAAAGCGGCAGTTGTCGCGCATACAGCCGCGATTCTAAAAAGCCTCTTTCAGATAAGACATCAATGCTCTCATAGAAAATACCTAAGCACATCAACCCATTAACTAAAGAACTTGCAAGGTTTACCGCTTCACTACTGTCAGTTACCTAAGCTCTTATGCTAGGCTTCCAGGTCTACAGTTAGCAAATCCTAGCAAAATACCTTTCTGATAGCTTCATTAAACGCATACGCACCTGGAAGTCGATGCAGAAATTGATCATATCTTCATTGCGCTGCTTGGCGTCGGTGGGATGGTAGAATTTGCAGCGTGAGCCGCGATTGCATATGTTCTTAAGGAAATCGCGGCAAACATCGTCGCGATCACGACCATTTTCATTGCCGCCAGCGCCTGGACTATCAGAGCGATCGCCGTTAGCGCCGGATTTCGACTCTGAACCGTCACCACTGTCCTTTTTCTGGTCACGTTGATCGTTGCTCATACCTGAAAGAATTACCATTACAGCAGATAGTGAACATTGAACGATACAACGAGAAGCCAATCAAGATCCCACTCACTTCGAGATATTACCCTATCAGAGCGATATGGATACCTTATAAAACTACCTAACACGGTCAAATAACAAATAGTAAGCTACTAATTAGAAGCTAACTTAGAAGAAAATTTGAGACTCGTTTCAGACCTATTTGCTACGAACTAGAGAGCCGGAGTGGCCCCAGGTAGACACCTTGCACTAGTAGGAGGAGCTGCCCATCATATTACCCTGTGGCAGATCTGACTACAAGAATCCCACTGAACTACTGGAATACCTGAGCAGCAAGTCTCAAAATCAAGAACTCCCTTGGTTTCTAGCCACGAAATTCACGGATGTAGTACCAAAAGCCGCACACTCAACCTTTGATGACACAGTGGACTTTGCTCTGTACTACATAGAAAGCTCCACAACCGTTGGCTCCAACAACAGTTACACACTTCAAACGTCCCAAACGGGCGGAAACTCGGAAAAAAGAGCTGTTGACTCAACTAATAAGGCAAAATAGAGACGAATGAGCAAAAACCTGAAGAAGTAGGAGACCACACCAAACGCGAGGAAAACGTAAACGCAAATGAAGTAATCAATAACGCGTCGCTATGACATGCCACGCGGCAGTTAGATGTGCAGGCTAGCCATTCCAACTAAACCCTTTGAATCTAATGGCGCGCAAGGACCACGTTTGAATCGATCGGGTCGCGTTATTTCGCAATTTGCGATGATCTTTGGGGTATGGGTTCCTGGAAACTAGGATGAAAAGAGCAGTAGGGTTGGGCATCCACATTGATCGGCAGTCATTTTCGTAAATGTATTGTTCAGGGAGAAAGACTATTGGATGGAACATTGTAGTTTTTTACTCATGTGAAGCAGGGGCATATTTGTAATTTGTGGAACGAACGTGGGCATCGTTTGGCACGTATGGGCCCTTTCTCACCACACATACTCATTTGGATCTCCTAGTTTTGAAAATCAAGGCCGAAAATGGATGAGGGAATGCATGTATGATTTGGTCTACGCTGTCAATATCTATTTTCTCTATTTTTCGTTCTAAATCTCATGTTACATTTATGACTACTGCGCTTTATGTAATAGTGTCCGTCATTTATGAATTGCTTTCTCTGTTTTTGTATATATGTTCTTGTTATGTTCCGCGTCGTGTAAAACTCTAAAATAAATCCATCTCATCAAATCGCTTGTTTAGGTAATCTTATGCCAACTTCGTGATGACACCAGCGGCTCCATTTGAAGCACTGTTACCTAAAGCAAGATTTCGAAACCTACAACAACGTGCTTTCGGATCAGCTTGTGCTACTGTGAATGGCATTAAGAAGGCGTCAAAGATGAAAATCGAAAACAAAGGTAAATAGAATGCCATCAAATTAGTTACGCTTTTAAAAGATCTTTTCTATTGCAACCCTTCTAGGGTCACTGCAATCTTTATGCCAAGGAATGGAAAGCTGTGAAGAAGTGGATGACCATTCCCCAAGGCGTGGACATTTTTTCCATCGGTCAAATAGTAATGGTATGTGACTTCGTGGCAATATTCAGTCGGTAATGTGCTGAGCGCGGGCAGTTATCGATTCACATGCAATTACATGTTATCAAATAGGAGTAGGGATGGGAGGATGATTGGGAACTGCCATCATATTTTCAATTGAGGGAATGATTGATTCTGTCCATTCAGGCGGAAACGCTGAAGGATTTTTCTATCAGCTTTGAAAGGTTGCTATTTCAGATGGCACCCCGAGCACATCAAGGTGCTTAGGTGACAGCCATATTGAAGTCAGCGATGAAGATCATGATGTGTGTTCTTCTCGACGTGAACATGTGAAGAAAGCAGAAGCTGTTGGGTCTAAAGGGCGACGTGAAATAAAAATAGACGAACACTACATGAAAGAAGAGTGAGTTCGAAAGCATAACTCTCCTCTTCGCAGCTCTGCTGCCGTGCAATTCCACTGCATTGATTTGTATAGTTAGATTGCAAAATTTTGGTCCTCGTAAATTACGTCATCAAATTCGTTGTCTCTCAACAATCACGTGTCCTCTTACGCTCTTCTTAGAATAGAAATCAGTTTGTCTGTATCACCGGTTTTAGTACTTTTGATGCAGTTGTAACATTACAGATGCATAGATTCCATACTTGATGATCGCTATCCCTTTTTGGATGGTAATAACCACCGGAACTACTATATCATCAGAAGTGGTCAGTTCATTTACCCATCATTTCCATGTCCGTTGTGCGATTCGTTCTAGCTTGGTATTTCCAACTTTGTTTTCTTTCAGATGGACGGCTTGCAGAAGTTTTTCGCACAGACCTTTTTGATAGGCTTCGGAAGGGAATAGGTGCTAATGAGGAAAGCGATGATGACGATGTGCCTGGCAATGGTTTAGCACGGATGACAGATAGGTCAGTTAAGAAATCAATCAAATAATTTTGTGTTGAACGATTGGACCATGTTGTAGTTAAGTAGTCTAATGCAAAATCAGTTGCTACTTAGACGCTGCCCGCTTTGGTCAGTGTTTGGCGGGGATCCTCTTTAGGTCAAAATATCAGATCTCAGTTTGGCTGCGGGGTTTTTCCTTTTCAAGAAGAGCAGAACTCCATCATATATCACACGTAGTTTACGTCGGCAATGTGTCCTAACAGGAACTGAATTGGGCTCAGAGGTCTATTTGCAGGAGGTGGTCTTGACGATTACGTTTAAAAATCATGTAGAACATGAGAATAGTTCAGTGGAACTGTGATTAATGCAGTTTGTAGAACTTTTAACCCTTCGCCCTATTATTGCCGGTTTTCCAGGTGGCGCGCAGAGTGGAGCAATGGCATCCAGATTCCTCTTCGGGCAGTTAATCCAAACCCGGCTGAAGTTCGGAAGGCTGTTGTTAAAAGGATGTCATCTAAGCTCAGTCGGTAGGTACATTCTTCCCTACTTCCATCAGTGTTACAAAGATGGTTAATGCATGCGTTGTCAGTTTCGCAGTTCTTACAATATCTTCGTCTCTCTGTCATAGTGCTCCTGTTTCAGCATTCTTCGAGAAAGGCACGAGGTTATAAGGGAATTTCTGGCAAACCCTTACGATCCCATTAGAAACACACCTCTTCGCCTCTACGAATGCACCATTTTGGATGAGTTGTGGGTAAAGCTTTTCAACGAGGTTAGTCATATCATTTTGCTTCGTCTCTTTTCACCTAAGTCATGCTTTTTTAGCAGCAGATGCGCAACGGTAGCACTCAGTTGTCTATGGAAGTATTTCTGCAAGTAATGAACTCGTTTGAAGTAGAGTGTTACAAGGTAGGTAGCTTCTCACGTGCTGCTTACCCTACAGAGCTGCTTCAGTTTGTATACATGTTTTTGTTTTTGCATTTACGGTTAAAATCTAGAATATTCACCGAAAACTCCTGGAACCGCTTCACTCTCCAAGTTCACGACTGGAAGATGGCGATGAGGAAGCTGCTTGTGACATCTGTCTAGCGGTAAGATGTTTGTCATCAGAGTAACGCTTTGTTTTTGCCATGCAGGTAGTTAATCAATGAAGCGCCTGTTTCAGGTCGATAGTGAGCCTGATGATGAAATGGTATTCTGTGACGGTTGTAATTTATGTGTTCATATGTCCTGTTATGGTTTGCAAGAGTTGCCACCCGACGAATGGTTGTGTATGAAATGCCGGCTGTGTTTTGGTAAGAATTTGTTCAGAGTTCAATGGATCGCAAGGATTTCACGTGTTTTCGCAAGCTTTTGCTTGCAGACTGTTTACGGCGAAAACAAGAAAACTGGATTAATCCCCTTTTTGTGTAATCTGCTGAAATTTGCTGGAATTGCATTAGGGTGGCCCCTATTTTTGTAATTACGAATAACGATCAAGCGGAGGAACAACAACTGTTACGGCCTCCCATTCTTTCGACAATCATGTGATGGATCACTTCTGTTTGCTGTTATGCATATGCGGCGCACGTATTCGCTGCAGAGAGAGTAGCGGCGATGCTAGGCTAGAATCGATGGAGAGTGCAGGCAGCCGGCAAGAGCGGTTCAAAAATGAATGCTATGCATGTCTGTGGCGTTATTGACTTTTACATTTCCAATTATAGTAACAAAGAATGTGGTGCTTCAGATAAACTATTTGTAGTGCGGCAAATCTATAAGGGATAATAGATATGATGAGAAATAATACTTCCCTTCTGTAGGTACGGATAATTTGTAAATGGAGACTTCCGAGAGCGAACATAAATTAGAAAAATTGCTTAAGTATGCCCTGTAAATAGTTTACAAGACGAGCTGACGTTCATTGTTCAGGACGTAATCCTCCCTGTGTGTTATGTCCAACTATAGGCGGTGCATTGAAGTGCACAGACACGAATCAATGGGCACACGTAGTGTGCGCGTTATGGATACCCGAATGCCGGTAAGTTAAAGTTGATTTCAGGTTTTTTTCTGGTTATGTTGTTCTCATGTGGATATAAATTTTCTAATCTATCTGAAGAATATAGCAGTGAGGACCAGTTTTACTCGCTTTCTTATTCGCGAATGCGGCTCATCCATTCAAGAAATGCACCGATTTTTTTCCAATTCCCCATCACTCCAAATTTTGTTAAAAAATCGCCTAGAATTTTTTGTCTACACAACTGTAGTAGGTTTTAGTGAGGAAGGGTATGGATGTAGTTTCTAATAATGATGGGTCCTCGAGTAAGGCAGAGTGAATTTTGATTTGAGGGTTTTTGAAATATCGATTTCAGGTTCGGCGATTTCGAAAAACGAGAACCCGTAACTCGCTTGCACGAGATAAAGGAAGAAAGATGGAGTGCCAAGTTGGTTTTCAAAGTAGTTTTATTTTTCTTAACATTGCTGAGCATCTAGCACATTTAGATGTTCGATATGTGACACAAGGCAAGGTGCTTGTATCAAATGTTCTGTAGATTCCTGTCTATCGTCCTTTCACGCCACATGTGCTCTTCGTAGCGGATTAGAAATGCGAATCGAGCAGGTGAATATTGTACTCGTAGTTGTGCTCCAGGTCGTCATGTTTTTGCCCAGTGTGAGGGGCGCTGAGGTTCAATAGTAGGCAACTAGGTTTAGGCTGGAACGGAAGAAAATTTCAAGCATAAGTATTTTTGACTTGTCTCCCTTTGCGACCTGCCACAGCGCAAAGTTCGCGTGATAACTGAGTTTTTCGTTGTTTTTTTTTTTTTTCTGACGCTGCTCGATGGTGACAATGATGGCAAGTCCATGACGATATTTAATCAGTCCTGCAATTTTTTTTTATATTTTCTCTGCGCTTTTACCAAGTTTGAGTTGAATTTAGAAGCTTCCTTGGAAAAGATCGAGTTTGAAGCCTTTGTCTGTTACCTTACCCAAAACAGAACGTCTTCTGTGACTTTGTGTGTTTGCGCTCTGCTGAAGATCAATTTCATCTTAGACTTGCTGAATTCTTCGCATATATAGTTCTTTCTACGCCTTGGAAAAAATATGCGCGCAAGTTTACAGAGAGCTGTTCAAAACTTAGAACTCAAAAATTGAAATTGGTATAGTGTTATACGCATACGCAGTCAGGGTTGTCCAGAGAAACTTGTAAACGGGTTCGAGACAGAAAAAGGTGCTTCTGAAAGGAAATCGAAAAAGCGTATCATAAAACAAAAATGGTGGGCTTTTGAAAATCAGAAAAAAATCAATTGCCATATGTGGAATAAAGAGCCTAGAGAACCTTTGTTTTGAAACAACTGATGTTGGATATTTTAAAGGCAATTCAGTACTTCTTTGCAGGATCCGGTTGATGACAGAATTCACATGATATCACTATGTCCAAAGCATCGTTCTGCGAAACCTTTCAAGAAGGATGTTGATGAGGCTTGTGAACCAAGTCAGGTTGGGAATTTATATTATCAAACGATTTATCGAACGCTTTTGAATAAGTACACCGTTCACTATTTGCACAATTGGGTCGAGCTGCGGTAAATAGTGCTGATAAACGTTGATAAGAATTTTACGGTGGGTCCCGATTCCGCAGATAGCAGAAGAGGGTCACTAACTAGAACAAACTGATTTCTGTGAAGGATCATGTCAACGCTTTATGCAGATGATTAGGGGGAAAACTTGGTGGTCGGAAGTGTAGCAGTGCTCGTAAAGAGCAGATAACAAGCTGGCACGATTGTCTTTGATTGTGCTGTCCCCTCAAGGAGCAATGTGTGAGGGTTAGTGACCCTAGCTTCCTGTCCTTCGTAAATGACGCTTGCACTTATCGCCTTCATCTCTTGTATATTCGAGTGTATAATCCGGGGCACACCAAAAACAGCGCATTATCAATATTTTAAGCAGTTTAGATTCAGTGACTTGGACGAAAGTCTCGAAGATTCTGTATCTCCACGCCAATTGTATTGTTGATGGCATTTGCTTGATTACTAGTTTAGGCTGCGTCTGATGATGAAACTACCGGGCACGATGGTTTCAGTCCTTTGGCAAAGCTCGAGCAATCTTGTTACGAGTTTGTTGATCCTGCGGCCACCGCTGCAGAGTAAGAAAATTCGAACTCTTGTTTTTGTTTGTGCTTAGAGTTCTGGAAATAATGTGGTTTATTTTAAGGTTAAAAGTGGATTTGGTGCAAGTACAGGAAGTGTTTGCCTACTGGGTGAAAAAGCGCCTCCATCTCAATAAGGGAAGACCGCTTATCGAAAATCTTCAAGATGAAATCAAAGTATTTTTTGCTGAATCTTCTTGATTTAGCTCGATTATTGTCATTGTTTCGGAAAAAAAGCATTGTTAAGGTGGTGGAACCGGAACCTCCGCAGCTCGAGTTGCCCGCATACAATGAATCAAATGTTTCGCCACCCGTTCAAGTCAAAAGGAAACGCGGCCGTCCAAGGAAAAATCCAGTTGAGCAAGGTGCGACGGTGTCAGTTACTGAGAACAAGGCCGATGATTTGGAGAAGCTGCATGCAAAGCAAAGGTTGGAACACTCCCTCGTTCAGGTAGGTTCTTTTTCGTTCCTGTCTACTTCCTCTAACTTCTTTTTTTTTTGTATCAGGTAAAACATAGTTCTGATAAGTTTAGCAGTGAAACGAGTTTCTTTTAGAAGGGCCGGATATAGCGATTTCAAAGAAGATTGTTTGAAAGTAAAAATAGGGTTCAAAACTGGTCATATCTGGTGGTCTCCTGCAGTTCGTAGAGCTTCGGCGTTGATGTTAAGTTTTGATGTATTTCATGTGACTATAAGGTTGTTAGGAGGAAACTTTAAAAGCGGTCTAACTTGGCTGGCCAGGTTGTTTTCATTGATGAACACTCCATCAACGCCTTGCTTGATAGCTATCCTTTGCTAAATATAACTTGCTTTGATCCTTTGCTAGTTGCTATTAGCAAAAAGTTCGTTCTTATTCTTTTGCGGTTCTAATTCTCCGAGGATGGCGTCAGGCGAACTGGTCAGATTAGGCCGTTTTCACCTTGTTACTAGAATTCCAAAAACCTACCGTATCCTCTCAATTTATGTATCTACATGCTGTAGTTTAGTTTCTAAGGATGGTTTGAATGGATAATTATTGACGCAAATTGCACGGCCCGTATCTGTTAATCAGTTTCATGTAAATAGCAAGCAGAAATGTTTGTAGCATCATGCAAAAACTTCTGTTGATTTCACTTTTACAAATTGTCTCCATCAAGTGGACGTCTTTCTTATTTTTTTCTTTCAATGCTTTAATGGACGCTATTGGAATAGAAACGTAATCAAAAATAAAAGTTTTCAATAGTGAAAATCCTTTTGAAATCATGCTCTCTCTAGTGTTTATGGCTGACGTAAAAAAGCTGCATGGACGGAAGTATGGGTGAATGAGATCTTCCAATGGGAGCATTTCCACTCGCTCCTTTTGCCATACTAAGTTCGATGGAGGTGGATGGGCCCTAAGTCTGGCCGCATTCTGATCAGTTTGCCACAAGTATCGTATTTGCTCATGCCCCCCCCCCCCCCCCCCCCCCCCCCCCCNCCTCCTCCCCGTAAAAATAGTCCAATAAGCGCCCACCATTGAGCATTTTGCTTCTCGTGCCCATAGTGCCCCCTCCCTTTTTTGTAATCGGCATTTAGTGACGTTGAATCGTTCCCCGTTGGTGACTACTGAAAAGCACATATCCATTGTTGACCTTATTTCGTTTAGACTTTCCTTTCAAGCGGACTTTTAGTAAGGACTGGCACCGAGCAAAAGTGCAAAATAAGATGAAACAACTTGGTGCAGCGAGCGATGACATTTTACACTGAAAAGTTAATTGGAAGAAACGGCGCGAAGGGTTATTGTTCCAAATACTCTGGACTCTGAAAAGGGCAGGACATTTTCAGGGTCGTTAGGTTAAAAATAAAATTTGTTTTGGCTTCTCTCGAGTGACATTTTTATTTCTTCGCTACAAATAATAACTTGAATCAGTTAGAATCAGCTGGTGCCATGGAATTCTCAAAATTAACTATGGGTTCGAAAAGGGCGTCCAAATTTTTAGGGAAGACAACTTCTTGATTTGGTGGTGAGGAAGTGCAAGGAACAGCGGAATTATTTGAACGCTCATATGGGTGCACTGTTGCTAATCACAGAGCATCTTTCGAAGCCGCTCCCACTCAGCCACAGGAAAGACAAATATTTAAACGATACTTTGCAGGTACGTTTATTATGCAGTGGTACATACAACATACTATATAGAGCAGTTACGTAGCAGCAATTCTAGAAATTTTAATTTTGTTCTATAGCTTCAAGTAAAGCGTGTGAAACTTCCATAATTCTGAGACAAGTCTCAAGCGTTTCATCCGATATTTCCATCACTTTTTTTAAAATTTACTTCTTTCCTTTTGTGCCCTTTTTGGTCCTTTTATCTGTTCTTTTCTTGAAATAAACATCTGTTTGTAGAGCATTTGTTTGAAAGAAGTAATAGATGAAGGTGAACGGCGTGCTGATGAAATATGTGGTCTTAGCGAAATGGTAACATCAAGGTGAGTTAAGAATATCTACCTTTTAGCTACCTTCGATTTACGTCTCTTCCAGATATGATCAGCGGCAATCGTCGGAGTCGACTCCTGTTTCTACATCATCATCGGAATCATATCATCCCCCTACTCTACGAAATAGTTCATCCGCTATGCAAAAGATTTATGCTGGCAATAATCCGTACGTTCGGCATCTAAACCATCATTTGCACGAAAGCATAGAACTTATTTCACTTTATTTTTGTGCGTAAGGGGATCAGGTTCTATTGTTTGCGCTGATTCGGCTATGCTTTCGGGATTCACAAAAAGGATTTACGATTTTATTCCGCTGAAATATGCTTTTCAGAATCCCGCCGTCCGATTCAGTGCCTTGTCGATCACGTTCGAATCTTAAGAAAAATCCGAAAAGAGGTGTTAATACGAAGCAGCCGCGTGACGAGTCTGAAGATTTCGAGGAGCAAAGTCGTAATCGTCGAAAGAGTTTAAGGAGTTCAGACAAGCCTGTCGAAAATGGAATTGAAGAAGTCTTATCTCGGACCCGGGATCTTGAAGCTGGTCCTATTAACGAGAACGGAATTGAATCGTCGTCACATACTCCAACTACTCACCATAAAAATGAGAAGGTTGTCGTTGTGGATCCAAATGCTGCGAGTATTACTAGCACAGCAGATGAGCAGGGAGATATCAGTATAAGCCACGATACATCTATGGAGATAAAGAATTCCTCTTCAAAGGTTTCAAGAAGACAGTCTCGACTGCGGCATAGGTCTGATTCGAAAGCTGCTGCCAATTCACCGAAATCGCCTTCTCCGAAACGCCAGCGAAGTACGCAAGCGATCGACACAAAGCTGAGACTGTTAAAGTCGTTGAATCTGAAAAACGCAAACAAGGACTTTAAAAACCGGTGGGGTATTTCTTGAGACAGTTGTTACACGAATAGTAGCGCTTGTCGGTCGATGGCTCGTTAAATCGATCGATATTTTGAAGCAGTGACTCTCACATTCCGCTGACTTTCGCGTCGGTCTAGAGAGTCAGGATTATTTTCATGAACATAGGATTTTGAGGTCGACATTGTTGCATTCTAGTCACACACCGTTTCATAGAAAACCTTTCATCAATGGGACGTCTTATAAGCAGAAGCATGGTAGGCTCTTATTCGCTCTTGTATTTTCTTTGATAAGTTGCCATAAACATCTGACTATACTTTCTTAGAACAACCAGTGCCTCGCTTCTTGCTGCATTCTCGTTCGTAACAACTACCTCATTCAAATCAATCTGAGACATGGCCGCGTAACCCAATGTTCAAGTCTTAATGGTGTCGCTAATAGCTGAAGGACCTTTCAAGCTTCTCGCCGATATCTGTGCGATGATGGTTCAATCAATGCAGAAGATCAGGGGGAAGTTCAAAGGAGAGTGGTATCTCCGTGCAAGTAATTTCGAAAGCGAACCTTGTTGTCATCACTTCTTTCTTTTTTGAAGTTGGTTGAGATCCCATTTATGTTTTGTGAAGGTGAGGAGAGTGACGTGAAGGTGTCGTTTGGGTGCGATCACAATGCATTTTAATGGGGTTTAGGTTGCCAGGGCACCTTTAACGGGGGACAGATCAAGTCCTCAACTTTTCAGTACTGAGCTGTTTCGCGCCAGTATTTTCTAGGAAGCATTCTCACTATATTTAACATGCTCTCTGCATTTTGAAAAGGCGCTAAAAACTGGTTAGCGTCAAGTGAACTTGATTTTATTAGGTTTTATTAAGTTTTATTGCCCATTTTACTAATCCTTTTCTAGCCTTTTACTAGCTTATTCCCCATTTTATCATTTATTTATTTATCATTTAGCATTAAGCAAGTACTGAAATAGGCTACCTAGGAAATGGAACCCTGCTACCCTGCTACTTTGGCACGTTACCTAGGTAACGTGCCAAAGTAGCAGGGTAGCAGGGTTCCATTTCCCTGTATAAACTGTATCGTAGTAGTATAAGAGCACGCACAGGGGCCAAGAAGTGGGATCGATGCTTTTTTGCTCCCCCCGGTTCCTACAATTCGATCGGAGTGCGTTGCAAGCGCTCGCTTATAAACACTTCCACGACACTTGATCCCTTTGCGAAACATCAAAAGGCTCGTTTTTCTGGTAAAAAAGCTCTGTTGAGCCAGCTATGGTCTGTTTTAGATTGACATAGTTATTTGTCGTTACATTAACTGTTTCATGTTACTAACATATTTTTGGAATTTCCATACTAAGGATCCCACAGGCCCTGTGAAAATGCTTTATTTTATAGCAGGAACCTCTGTTTTGCGTTTTACAATTTGGTATATGGTTCAGCAGTCGTTTTAGCTTTTACTGTGTTCCTTGTTCGATGCACTAACTTAAACTAAACCCCGTTTGCCGGTTTTGAGATGCTCATGCTTGTGAGCTTCATGAAAACTTGGTGAGGTTCTGTTCTTTTTACTTGGCGTTGTGAGTAGAATCGTTATAGCTCTGTTCAGGCTTTTCTATAAGGAATGTTTAGTTTTACGTTGTACAAAAGTTGTGCCTTTTTGCATGCATAATCATTGGTGAATCAATGTTTTACTAAGAATTAACACATCCTAGTACGCTGTTGAGACTGCACCTTTCAAAAGTGCTTAAAATGTCGAATAAATTGTACAGTTAGTATTTGTAGCGTAGCATTGAGGTGTAGTTATCCTTTCACATAAGAGCATACTGCAATTTTGATGTGAACGGTACATACTTCGTTGAGTTACACTGCTGTTTTATTTATTTACTGCTACAATTATAGTAAAATAATAGTACTACCGTAGACTTGTAAGTAATCCGCTGTCACTCAGGGGCCGTAAGTTATGCTCCCCCGAACAGGGGAGGGTTCCCTTCCCGGTAAGGTATGCTCTCGGGGAGAGCAGAGAGATAGATGTTTTTGGGGAGAGCAGAGAGAGAAAGAGCCGAATCGGGGCGTCCCAGCCCCGAAAACGAGAGCATACCTTACGGCCCCAGGTGCAATAGGAGAGTAGTGGAGGGGATCTTGACCTTCGAGCTTGAAAACATCGCAGGAACTGCTAGAGTGAATTAAGCGCTTGGCTGGGTAGTTTACAGGTCCTGGTCGCAAAATGTACAAATGTACTTGAGCCCTCGAAGAGGTGATCGAGCCGAAGCGTCAGCCGGTGGAAATCAATAAATTGTTATCACACATGTTGTGTTTACGCGATTACTTCATCACACCAACCTGGGTTACCTACTTTTTCTGATCTTCTGATTTCAATTGATTTCGATGTAGCAGTGAAATTCTCATGTTCTTATCAATTGTACAGGTTTGCCTACGGTCGTAAAGACACCAGTCGACAAACCGAACTTTAACCGTGAATTTGATTTTCCCTTTTTGTTGTAAGTGGTTGTTTATTATGAAATGTCATGTTTCTACTTGAGGTTCCGTCAGTCAATCCCTTCAATTCAATGAGAAGGTCATGGCCCAGTTTATCGTAGCAGTGCTGATATTGGACATAGGACACCGCGTGGTTTTGTGTTATCTAGTGGGGATCGGGTGGCTACTACACCCTTTTGGTGCAAGCTAAGGACAGGGTTAAAAATTAAGGGTCCTCACACAATTGCATTTGTCTTGGGCTAGTGACCCAGTCCTCGCGAAATGGCGGTCAGTGGCACCTCGCGTCTCACTGTCCTTTTTTTAGTTTTTACTTTAGTAGGTATGAAATCATGGTTTCTGGAAATCACACTATTCAGCTCGGTAGCTGAGCTCAAGTATGAATAACAAAATGTAATCATAGAGATGAAAATTTCAGCTCCAAGAGTGCCTTCATTTCCTATATGGAGGGATTATTTCACTATTCAGCAGCTTTCTATTTATCTCGATGTTGTGATGCCAGCTGCAGTGCTTGTTCGATCCTCGTTAAAAACTATCAACAAAGTGATTTGTGAGAGTTCGAAATGATAGTGAATGATTTTTGAGAAGAGGAATGGGTGTTTTGGACGAAAATCGTCCATCGGTAGGAGGTCGAACCCAATAGACGCAGGAACTACTTTAATGCTTGGAAGCTGCCGTTGAGTGCAGTTTTTTGCTTTGCCAATCGATTTTTGCCGCTCATTTATTGTTACAATGACATATCGGTATTGTGCAGTAGCCTGTAACGATTAGAGAGAGAGGGATGAGAGACAAACGCTTGTTTTATCACGACTTCGGTGGTTTGTAGTAGTCTTGGTGCAGGGCCTTTCGCCAGCTCAGTGAGGCTGCATTATGTTCTTGTTTTCTCCTTCGTGACCTATATACACCCTCTTATCTTCGATAACCGTTCATCTTGATAAATCATTTCATCGAATCAACCTCGTTGATTCTGTTTACTTCATTTGAAACGATTCGCTGAAGTGGTCTATCTTTTCCCGCCTTTTTGCTGATTAAAGTCATGCATATAAATCATGCTACTATTTTGATGGCGACATTGGCAGTTCGTTTGGCTCAAGGAGTGACACGAGGACTGGTCCGGCCTCTCGCAGCTTTGCCTACTGTTCAAAGGTGACTACTTCTTCTAAACTTAGAATAGCTCTAACGATTTCAAATTCATAATTTTCATAAATACTGTTTCTGGTTTTGAAATTCGCATCATATATTATTCAGTTCATTCGTGAGTTCAATTTTATTCATTCAGTTATTAGGTGTCAATGTACCCAGAAGTTGTCCCCACAGGTTGTTCTGATGCTATTAGAATCTTGCTTCAATTGTGAACGGGCAAAAGACGGTATATTGTGGGCGTTCACATGCTAAGCTTATTGAAGAATCACATTACTTTTTTATGTATTTGAGCAGCCGCTCTTATAATGATCTACATGGTTTAATTCCGCCGGAAGTCCCGCAATTGTTCCCAGCTGGCACGCAGCTTATGTTTTAGGTTCTGTCATTTCTGTACGCTCAATTTCTTGTCAAATAGTAATATTATGTATGTATGTGTTTCTAACCGACTGTGATACCAGGTGGGTGTGAGAGGGTACTAACTTTGGTTCTCGTCTATGTTATTAGGCATTTAAATGGCGTTGAAAAAGAAGCAAAGAGGGTCAATGTCGACCGACCGAGCTTAGCAGCTATCGTGGATATAATGGAGTTAGGTGTTTGAGATGTTTTTTTTTTGTCCTTGTGAAATGAAAGTGTAAATATTGTGTACTACCCGTTATTTGGCGGATGAAAAGAGCATTGTAGTCGCGATAGCATGAACTGAAGAATAATGTATTCTGAGAGGTAACAATTAGGATATGCCTATTAGCAGTGGTAGGGAGTACATGTAGGGTGCACTGATTGACTTTGACATCGTTCTTCAGCGTTCTCAATTTGCTCCAGTTCGTAGAATAAGACTGAGGGAGACCGACGGAATCTAATACCGCTACTGCACCTTATCCTGTATGTCCCCAATTAGCAAAACATCAAAGAGGAGCATAAGGGATCTTGATCGAAACACATGGGTCCCTCATGGCCATTCTCGGTGTTACCTATTTGTGGGTTGTTGTCAGTGGTATACTTTCATGCGGAGGTTTACTTGAGCAAGTATTCAGGCGAACTGTGTACTTGCTCAGGTAAACCTATTCGGTGAAGTAAACATGGAAATAAATTAGTAACAAAAGCGAAAATGTGACAGCTGACGGGCCAGAGGCTCTCAAGAAAAATCAATCCCCTTTACATATTCTGCCTGCGGCCTTTGCATTCCTGGAACACGTAGATACTTATGAAAGCTTTTTGTGGTTGGACCGCTGTATTCTCCATTCTCACCACCGTTCTTGTCAACAGGTAAACATCATGAATTTAGCAAACATATTTCCTGATAGAAAATGAAAGGTCCCCTTGGTTGGGTGGGTAAGAACAGTGATTGGAGTTTTCCTGGGTACAAGTTATGCCGCAGTTGCTTGGACTACTTGAAAGTAGAATCGCTAGAATCGCTTTCACTGTATTCCCATAAAGGCTTAACTTAATGTGTACGATTTATTTGGTTCAGTTGAATTATCTGTGGAAGTAAAGAAAAGCATTGAATAAAGTTAAATATCCTTATAAGGAATGGACGTGGAAGTCTGTCTCTCGGCTAGAATTCAATTAGTTGCAGTTTCTTGTAGAAGTTTACCAAACATGGATGGTAGACTTTCTTACAAGTTCACTATTTATCACCACCTGTTTGTAGTGCGGCTGTTTTTCATACAGCTCCACTGTAAACAACAGGTTGCACTTCGATTATCTATTAAGTTGGCAACTATGACTGCGTATTTTCGCTGAGTACTTCAAATATATTAATTTTAAAAGGAGAACTCTGGTTTTAAGAGTGATTTATAACTATGAACCAGTTAGTATTGAACCTATAGGTATTTAATGATCATTATGTAACTGAATATATTTCTCTTTTATCAAAAAAGGTAGTTATATTTCATTGAAAAAAACACAGTTACTCAGTCGTCAACCCGGTTGTCCTGTTTCAGAGCGAACTAATGCGTAGGGAAGGTTGGGTCTAAAAAAACTGCTTCGTTGTAAACCGTCCCAAGAACAGAGGGAGGAATAGACATTCCTGTACGAAAGCACCCAACAAAGTGCTGATAAACAGATACATTAAAAATTAAGTTCAAAAGGACATGAACGCGTGTAGCTGTCTGGCTGTTTCTCACTTGAGCGTTTTATTTCCCCATGCTCCCTTCGCACCCGTTCGCTCTTCACCAATCAGTCACCCTGCACCTTTTTTTTGCCAGTCTGGGAAGGGCGGGACGTCGTTTTGCACGATCCTTGCACACTGCAATCGATTGTTTGGTGTCCTTTCGATGCCGTAATTTCGTTTCGGGAACATTCCACGTTCCCTGTGGGGGGTTTCGTCCCAATCCTATCTTTTCATGTTTTTCCTTGATATCAGTCCTTATCCTTGAAATCACTATCATCGTGGTGATTCTCACTTTACGTCTCTTGACGGCACGGCGGGCTACGTCCGTGGCTATGTATCGAATGTGCTTCTTTGGTCGTGGAGATGAACCAGATGTAGAGGGTCCAGTGAAGGTGGAGGAGCAAGAACCGCAAGAACCGTTTGAGGAAGCTCCAGGGGAAGCTTTATCTCTTTTGTGTATAATACTTCACAATCAAAAATTGTTTTTTTTTTCTATTTGATTTCAAACAATTCAGTGGTTAGAAGAGTCTGGGTATGGTAAATGTAGTAAAAGAAGAGTGTACCGTTCGGTGCTAATGGTAGAGCAGCATAGCGACAGTCGCTTTTCATTCCCAGACAGAAGGTTGGACATGAATCCCTTAGAGTAGTGTAAAGCAGAGTAACGTAGTATGTAAAGCGTCCCACCGTGAAGTAGCGAAAATTCATGGAGAAGAAAGGCGTCAAGGGAGCAAAATGTGGGCGAGTTTTGTTGTAGTGTGCGCGCAGCGTAATAAGCTACGTTTATTACCCCATTTCTTGCGCTAGTAGTAGAGCTTATCTTATGGCCTGCAGACTGGCTCGCAGTGGTAGCATGTTCCCAGCCAGCTGGCTAATGTCACGCACGGTAAACGATCGGTATGGGAACGATGAGCTAGTTTAATGACATATCCATCGTTCTTTGAGAATGGTATGTAGCCTCGTTACTGGTATTACCATGGATTTGGTGAACTGCGAGCAAAACTTCTAAATTGGACAGGGCTTTAACCGTATTCGTCCTTTGCTTCTAGAGCACAGTATAACATCATAGTTCGAGTCCCATCCGAGGCCAAAATTTTGCTCTTAATTCACTGTGATGACTTGGCATCGCGAACTGCCGTCAAAGGCATCAAATCGAATCCCATATCGATTTTCTTTCTTGAATCTTTCTAGAAGTGAAGTTCCATGTAATGGTTGATAGAAATGGGATCCCCTTGGGTTACCTCACCTTTGAAGGAACTTGACCACATTACGATTTACGTCGCTACCATCGTTCACACTCTTCAAATTTACTGCAAAGAAAACTACTGTGGCATGCCGATGATAACAGTTAACAGGCATTATCAATAGAAACGATTCGTAAAGTGATAGTTGAAGGAGTTACGTTGTTTATGTTCAATTTGTGGCGGTTGCCACGCATTGTAGCCTAGCAACAAACCAGTTCGAGATCTTTTAATGAGACAAGCTCAACGGACTTGCTCGAAAGTCAGTTGAATTTTATCAACTGAGAGTTCATCAAACTGGCTTGAAACGCTTATTTGCCGGTTGTGTTCGTATTAATCATATGATTAGAGTCTCTAGTTCTATTCTTATGGTTCTAATTGTTTTAACATTCTTTACTTTTTGAGAAAGCCTAGGCAATCCACACTTTGCAACCTAGGCAACTCACATTTTGTTTTCTATAATCTGCTGCTTCCAGATCTTTCGCATCAATGGCTGCAGAAGCTTTCAAGAAGCACGAAGTGGTTCCTGACGTACTCGCCACGGCTCCAACGAAAGTCGTCAAGGCTCATTATGACAGCGGAGCTGAGGTGATTTATCAGTTCTTGACACATTAAATTTACTTTTGATATATTGAAAAGGGCATGAGAAAGCCGAAGTGGATAAGTTTGGGATGATTGAGCTAAACAGGGTTTTGTTGTTTCTTTTTCAACTTCGAAATATTATCACGTCTGCACCATGCTGTCAGTTAGCAGTTGACGTTAACAAATATTTTTTGTAATCCGGACTGTATTTCGCTTAATATGGCTCAATCACAAACATGTTTACGCCATTTCATCAAACCAGGAAGAGCTTTGCCTTTAGGTCAATTTGGGAAATGTCCTCACACCAACGCAAGTCAAAAATCCCCCTAAGCTCACGTGGGACACGGAGCCTGGAGCGTTGTACACCGTCATCTTCACTGGTAAGATTGCGTTTTTCGTGGGAATTCTTGACTTCTGCTCTAGGGTTCTTACGTAGTTGATTTTAGTCGATTCGGCAAAGAATAGATTTATACTGTTGCTTTGTTATTTGTAAGTTTTCATGAAGTATGAATGTAGATCCGGACGCGCCATCACGTAAGGAAGCAACATTCCGCGAATGGCATCATTGGCTTGTTGTGAATGTACCAGGAAACGACATCAACAAGGGTGATGTGCTCGCAGAGTACATTGGATCTGGACCCCCTAAAGACACTGGTAGGAAATGAAGATGCTCAGATGATCGGATTTCTTCCGCTCTTGGGATTGATTGGGTTAATTTCATAGGTCTCCATCGATACGTGTTCCTTGTCTACAAGCAGCCTAGTGGCCGAATCACAGACTCTGAGCACGGTCATTTGACAAACCGCTCAGGTGATGGTCGTGGTGGATTTAAAACAGAGAAGTTCGTCGCCAAACATAAACTTGGTACACCGATCGCCGGAAACTTCTACCAGGTGGGTTTAGTTTAGTTGATTCCCGGTAATTATGATGAGTTCAACGAATTTCAGGCGGAATGGGATGACTACGTGCCGATTCTGTATAAGCAACTTGGTGCCTAATTTGTTCAAACAGAATTGATACGGTCACATTGTTGACTTGTTAATCTATTTTGTTTTCTTTTTTTTTTTTTGCATGTTTATTTCAGTTTCCTTACCGGTGTAGTTCATTGCTATGTATCAATAAAGTTTTGTGTAAACTGATCTGACGTTCCCAATGCGACATTTTGGCACTGAAATATATAAACAAAAATGTAGAATCAAGGATCATTAAGCTACCCATGTTGTTTGTGAGGCTATCTCTACTCCCTACTTTTTCCAAAAGGCACGAGTCGAGAAGAAGAAAAAGGCAGGAGGAAGAAGTGACAGGCAGGAACCTGCTTTGGTATTTCAATTATTCAATGTTGGAGGAGGAAGAAAAGCAATTACAGTGGATAGACCATTAAAATCCTGACTTATCAGGTTAGTTTTGGTCTTTGAAATTTCCTATTTTTCTGCCATATGGTACAAACACAATTGGTTTAGTTGCTGTACAAGAGTTTATTGGTATATCACAGTTCTGAGCATAATGTGTACAAAAAAAACCTGGTAATTTCCCTAGTTCGTGATCAATAGCATGTTAACCCGATACGATTGTGGAGTTTTAGTCTTTGTAGAGTAGATGCGAGATGACTTCTCGATTGAGAGCCCGTTGATTCTCAGCAAGGACCATCGTGCCAACGAGATGTTTCTCAAGTCGCTCACGTTGACGTTTTCTTGCAAAACGATCGCATACTGAAATTCACTGTCATTGTTCACCTTTTGATGTGAAATTCCCAGGAGTAAGCCGTAAAGTTCACTCCTAAAATTCCTTTTTTGCTTTTTCGTGCAGAGCCATCAAAATTCGATTAATCTTCTCCTAAATCCTTTTCTTGATTCTAAAGCTGTGACTTTGAGTAGTTTTGGATCGTTTTACGAAAATTAGCTCACAATCGGGTTTCTACTAATTCTTGAACCGCCAAAAGCAANAAGCAAGATGCCTATTCTCCGAAGTTCGTTCGCGCGGTTTTTATGGATTCATTCAAGGCTCTCGACTGTTGTCATTCGATTAGCGAAATTATTGTAATTTGACTATTTTTGATATGACAGCTATTTTGTTAGAAAGTACTATTAGGACTATGAATATGTCCTACTTTTGAAAGGAATGCTCTTACCGAGATAGATTAGAAACAGAGGTATACAGCTGAGTACACCGATAGCACCCGTCTGTGAGACAATTTTGTTGTAATAGGAGTAAATGTCTTTCGTTTGGAACGTCTCACAAAATTGACCTGAAATAGATGACTTCGGAAATTAATCTGTTTCGATTAAGTTCTCTTCATCTGGATGACTGCTTTTAAATTTTTTTATACAATGACCGGTCATCTTACTATGCTCACCACTACCAGCTATACAAGTACTGGATATGGGCTATCGCCGCTATCGAACTTAACGACTCACCCAGCTGGTCGATTCAGAGAGATTAGACTAGTAGGATTTGAAAGGTCGTAAACGGAATCCTCATGATCATGATTCCCTTAGAAGGATACCAAGGAGGTCCGTTCAGATTCAGATGTGGGTAGTTTTTGTCAACATTGCCGAATTACTGATATTCTACCACAGGGACTTTGCACAACTGTGACGACTAGTTACTCTTGTCTGGACATTTGAGAGCACCACCATCTTTGAAATCGCTCCGACTCACCAGATCTTTCATCCAGTAGAAGAAGTACCTTCCGAGGAAGTTGGTAGACCTTTTCAAAGCCTTCTCATTTTGTGTGAAACGAATAGGTGTCAAGTTCTACTGCTGTACCGAGCACCAGTCAAGTGCACAGTGTAACTTTGGAGAATTGTTTATATTTACTCGATAGGATACGTGTGAAACATTAAGATTGAAATGGAAACTTGTTTGGGAGTTTTTCAATTCGTCAATCTGTTTTGCCTCAGAAATTTGCATT